GGCCAGCTTCATGCAGCGCCAGTTCGGCGCGCTCCTGCAGCCGGGCGTCAACAAGTTCTCGCTGCGGATGTTCGGCAGCCAGAAGGCTGTGGAGCGCGAGCAGGAGCGCGTCAAGTCGGCGGGGGCCTGGATCATCCACCCGTACAGCGACTTCAGGTACCGCCGCCGGGAGGGGTCGCAGCGAGCCGAAGCGCAGGGCCGTCCTTGGAGCGCCTTGGGGAGGGCGGGGCCGCGCGCCCCGCGGGTGACCTCGGGGCCCCTCGGTGACCTCGGCGCGTCCAGGACCCGCCTGGAATGACCTGGGCGCACGAGGCCCCGCCCTTGGAGGGGCTCTGGGAGGCGCGCGCAGACTACTGCCTTAACCCGGGCGCTCCCCCTCCCACGCACCGAACCATCCCCAGCCCCGCCGGGAGGGCGCACGTCACGGACCGCAGGACCGGGGTCTGAGTGCGGAGGGACAGAGAGGACGAATAGAGGGGAACGTGGGCGCCCGGGAGGCGGCGGAGCGGAAGGAAGGAGGAAGGAAGTGCACCCAGGAAGGACGCGCTCTGGAAAGGCTGGCAGAGGAAGGGTTAAGCGGACACGGCCCGCTCCCAGTATTTCCACCTGCGCTCCACGCCCCAGGGAGGCACGTCTTGTCCCGACCCTGGGTATTGCGCGAGGAGGGGGCGCTGAGCATCCCGGGTTCTCCGGGCTGTGTCTTCTCTGAACCGCATCAGCCTCAGCCGCTGGACGGTATGCACATGTGTCAGTGGGTGTGTAGATGTTGATATGAATTAAACCGGTTGATTGATGTGTGGAAAGGCTCAGAGCGAGGTCAGGCGCAGGGTCATCACCGTGCCCCACGCTAAGGCCCTTCTGCAGCCAAGAGGAAGCCTAGGGCCACCCAACAAGACCTGTGTTCTTGCGGTTCTTGTTCTTTAGCTTGCTTTCTGTGGCCTGCGAGTATGGACGGTGCATATCACTGCAGACCGTGTGTGTGATCACGAGCATGTGACTGCGGGGGGAAGGGGTCCTGGGGGTGAGGGCCGAATAACGAGGAGAACCGTGTTCCTAGGGGTGTGTCTGCGGGGTGGGTCACTGGTATGTGTTAGGGGGAGACGGGCCTGTGTGTGTGTGTTCCCGGGTGGATGTGCACCGGTGGGCAGTGTTTGTGAGTTTTGTGCACGGTGTGTGTGAAGTTTTGTGTACACAAGTGGTGTCCGTGTGGGACGCGTCCAAGCCTCCGAGCACTGGCTCTCAGGGCGGGCACGGTTTCAGCACCACGGACAGCATCCCAGCCGAGGCTCCCTGCCAGCCAGATCTCACCACACCATGGTTGTCCACACACCTTCCGCCCCCAAGTCCGAGGTCTCCACTTGACAGCTGGGGAAAATGAGGCTCAGGGGCACACAAGTCTGGGACAAGGTTGGAAGAAAGTCTGGGATTTCAGCTCCTCACCCCTCAGACCTTCCGTGGGAGGTGAATACAGCCTTGACCAGTGGCTTGAGTTTTGAGAGAAGACAGGGAGGGATGGGGATGGGGCGCCCAGGGACGGCCCAGATGGGATGCACTTATATGGTCTTGCCCAGCATGGGGGCTCAGCATTCCTTTGTAGATGGTACAGACTGAGAGAGCTTGGGTCTCAGCTGTGAAGGGTCATGTTCCAGTCTGTGAAATGGGGAGGTGGCTGAGAAGGTGCCTTAGGGACATGGTCAGCAGGGGGAGATGGCTGCGGAAAGTAACCATCCCCCCATTTCCTCCAGCATGAGAGTGGTCCTAGGCTTCCTCTTCCTTGTAGAAGGGGTAGTGTGGGGCTTGGGTGAGGGGTGTCAGGAAGAGCAATTAGGCTCCCCCCCATCCTGTACCCCTTGAGCACAGTCACTTGTGGGATCCTGGGCAGGCCATAAGGTCTGGGCTGCTCAGATGAACTGTAAAATGGGATGAGCAAGTTGTGGGTGGCCTGTAGTTCGGACTAGGGAACCACAGTCAAATTGAAAAACTTAGGCTATTGCCAAGCTTAGGTGCAGCAGGACCTCTACAACTCCCATGCTTTCAGAACTGTGCCACATCTAGACCCTTCTGATTCAGTATGGAGACAGACCCCAAGCACATGACCAAAGCAATTCTTCCTGAGCCCCTCCTGGGTCAGGTGTTGTGGGAGTACCTTAGGAATATTGATTTAGTCTTTACATCATCTGTGAGATAGATGCTGCAACTACCTGCATTTTACATATGGGAAAGATGGGGCCCAGAGAGGTAAAGTTACTTGCCCAAAGCCACACAGCTAGTCAAGAGAAGATCAGGTATTTACACCTGGGCAGGCTGGCCCCTGTGTCCACACTCCTGACTGCTGGGCAGCCAGCCTCTGGCCATGTCCTGTACAGACCAAGAAGACATGGGAGGAAAAGGCATTGTGGGGATTGTTCAAGATATTAGGGGCACCTGGAGGTGCGCATGAGTCTTCTCTATGTTTACACATGTGTGTTATTTTTTAAAAACCGTTCACAGCCCAGCCCATGTGGCTCAGTGGTTGAGCGTCTACCCATGCACCAAGAGGTCGCTGGTTCAATTCCTGGTCAGGGCACGTGCCCAGGTTTCAGGCTCAATCCCCAGTGAGAGGCATGCAGGAGGCAGCTGATCGATGTTGATGTTTCTCTCTCATCTATGTTTTTATTCTCTATCCCTCTCCCTTCCTCTCTCTCTAAAAATCAATTTTAAAAAAAGGCAAAGCCCTAGCCAGTTTGGCTCAGTGGTTAGAGCGATGGCCCTAGAACCAAAGTGGCAGGTTTGATCCCTGGCCCTGGTCAGGTGCGTGTGCCAGAGGCATCCAATTGATGTGTCTCTCTCACATTGATGTTTCTCTCTCTCCCTGCCTCCCTCCCTCCCTTCCACTCTCTCTAAAAATCAATGGAAAAAATACCTTTGGGTAAGGATTAACAAAGAACAAAACAAAACTGTTCACAGAGCAGTGGGTAGGGGCCTTTCTGGATCCACTTTCCCACTTTTGCTTTCTTGTGTCCTCAAACCCAGATGATGCAGATACCATCCCAGTTGGTGTCTCTGTCTGCACACCATTCCTGATTTAAAAGGGAAATTGGGGTGGTGAGGGGGAGGCTCCAGCCCAGCCCCCAGAGTCCCCACCTAGCACCACAGATTCTCCACTTCCTTAAGCTATGACTTCTTTGCTTGCCAGGGGAGCCCATCCCTGCACACTGGCTGGCACTCACCTGGTACTGAGAACTGGACAATTATTGTTTGGTGCCCTGGAACAGCCCTGGCTGTGCCTCATTTTCTGAGGGCTGCAGTGGAGTGTCCAGGGAGGAGGGCATTTTCAGAGGCCTGCAGGAGGGGGGTGTCTCAGCCAAGACTGCACTGTGGAGGGTGTCTGCTGAAAGCCCCGGTGCCACCTATGACTGGCCTTGGGTCCTCTCTGGAACTCCTGGCTCAGTTTCTCCAAATGTGAGATGGTGGTGGTATGAGGGGAAGGCGGTGTCTGGCTTTCACAGTCATGCCAGCATCATCTCTCAAATCTCACACCGTTCTCCTTCCTGTGGAATGATAGCCTTTGTACAAGCTGGTCCCCCTCCATCCCCCACCACACATGTCCTCACCCCAGTGCTTCCGATTTTCAACTCCCAGTTCACAAGCCACTTCCCCAGAACCCCATTCAGCATGTGCACCCACCTGTTTTGTGTTTGCTGCCCAGATGCTTGGAAGCTGCCTTTTCACTTGGTGTTGCTTATTTCCCCATCAGCCCCCGACCATGAGCATGGGGGTCTATAGAGCTCCCTGTCACAGTGGGTACCCAGGATGTCTCTAAACTCATTGAGTGGCACACTTGGGTGCTGGGCAGGTTGAGGGGAGCTCTGGCCTAGGGGTGGAGTCCTCATCTCCCTAGAGAGAGTTTGGGCAAATGGCTTCCTTGCTGCCTTTTGTCCTGTTCTTAAGTCTGTAAGTGCCTCTGAGGTCTGACTTGAGTCTTTCCTGATGCTGTTGATTTTTAGTTTTATGTTTCTGAACTTTCTACCACTGGGAGGCCTGGTGTGGGAGGAAAGAGATGAGTTCCTGGCTCTCAGAAAAGTTTCTACAAAGCCAGGATCTGTGGATGCGGACCTGTTCTGTTACTTCCTCTGGGGTCCCCCAGACTGGGGTAGTAGAGGCTGGTTTAAAGAACCTTACTGGACTGGAGGCCCCAGTCCCCAGCCCCAGATGGCCTGGAGGATCAGCAGGAGATCAGGATGGGTGGGGGAGGGCTCTTTGCAAATCCCTACATTAGCTCACAAGAATAAACCCCACATTATCCAGAGTGGGGAGGCTGAGGGGCAGGGGTGAAGGTTTCCCAGGCTCCAGACCCAACATAAAGGCACTTGGAGTGGGGGGCAGTGGAAAAACCCATTTCTCAGGTGGGAGGATTGAGGCCCAGCCCCCTTCCCCCTAAGCTGGGAGGAAGTGAACTCCATGGTCCTTGTGAAGGGGTCAGGGTTAGGGTTAGCTGAAGCCTCTCTCCTCACTCCAGGGGCTTCCTGCCAGAATTTCAAATCTCTGGGCCCTGAATTCCCTGCTTTACCTCCCCAAGCCTCTTCAAGGGAATGCTGGAGTGGGGGTGGGGGCAGGGGGCTTCCTCAACCACTCTCTTGCTCAGGCCAGACCTGCTGCACTCCCCACCATCAGCAAACCCACCCCAAATCCAACCAGCAAAAGCCATCTCATCACCTGTCTAGATGTCATCCTCTGCCCACTTCCTGCCTTCTGGCTGCCAGCAGGGACGTCTCAAGGTACACATATGTCCATCTTTCCCCCTCACTTAAAAACTCCCCTGGCCAAAACTCCCAAGGCCCTGCAGAGCCTGGCTCCTGCCCCCTCCCATCATCTCTTCTCACGTACTTTACTCTCTCCCTCTGCTCCAGCCCCAGGCCACCCAGCCAGCCTTGAAAGGGGAAACCTCACTGCAGCCACAGGACGCTTGCACTTATTGCTCCCTCTGCCCTGGTACAATGCCTCCCACACTCCACCAAGGGCTCCTTCATCTGTTCAAATGCTACCTCCTTCAAGAAGCCTTCCCAGACCACCCTGGCTAAAGTGGCCCCTCTGAAGCATCCTTTTCATTTATCTGTTTGTGTGGAACACCCGTCTCCCCTGCCTGGGCTGGGGGCCCTGAGGGAGAGCCAGGTCTA